TCCCCCAGCACCACATGCCAGCCAGCCCTGCCCCCTGGTGGGCTGAGCTGGCCACACACACACACACACACATAAATAAATAAAATTTAAAAAAAGAAAAATAAGGTCACAATAAAAATCTGGTCTAAGTGTACAGAAATTTAGATCAGATACCAACAAATTATTAAATTGTTTCAAAACAGTGATTGAAACCAAGCCTAAAAGCAGCCCTGTAGGGCCAGGGATACAGCTCAGTAGCACAGTGCCTGCCTGGCAAATGCACGGTCCTGAGTTGGATTCCAGGTATCAAAACACCTAGTGTGTTCTGGCAATTTCCAGCTTTGAAAACACTTTTTATTCCACAGCCTTTTTCTCCTAATTAAATACATTCATGATACTTTCTTTTTATTTATTTATTTTTTTGAGACAGGGTCTTGGTATGTAGTTCACGCTGGTCTTGAACTTACTATGTTAAGCAACTGCACTGAAGATGGCAATTTGTAATAGTAGGTTCATGCTTGGAGTGCCTGTCATTCTGGTCTTCTGAAGACATGCTGCTTGTCATGACATGCCGGTTGCTGCCATGCTGGCTCTCGGGTAGATGATTGTTTAAAAAGGAAGGGGGTGGTAAATGAAGGCAGGAGATAGGAAAAGGAGTGCTGCAGGACTGTCTTGCTGTACATGATTAGATTTCTGGACTTATGTGTAAACACATAATTCTTTATTCCTATTTTTAAAATATATTTTAATATTTAAAATTTTTTCATCATATTCTATAGGGACTTAAAGTTTAACATATCAATACTTGATGAAAAATACCTGTTCCATGTTATGCCTAAGATATTTGATATTCAGACAGACAGTGAGGTTAAGTTCAACAGCCTAAGTTGTATGGTAATAACAATAAGCTTGTCTTCTGGATGGTTAACAACCTAAGTTTGCAGACCAAAATTAGAGAAAAAGGAGGGCCACAAGGAAAGCCAACATTTTGGCCCTTGCCTTCTAAGGTCAATTAAGACTCAGGACATATGAGAACCTGTACTGTAACGTCATGTAACTCAGTTGTGTCCCAAATTTTCTGATCAAGGAGATTATAGGGCCAAAGAAGAAAGTGATTGATGATGTAGAATGTGCCCAAGGAGAGTCACATGGAGAGAAAACATTCTCTCAGGCTTTTACAGAGAGCATATTGGCCAAGCAATGACTGTGACTCATCCACATGGCTGACACTGACAAAGGATCTACAAACTGAGGTACAAGGTCTCAGGATAAATCCTGAGGGGATCTGACCTTATCAGAAACAAAAGCTAAGAAGATCCAATACTACTATGGGCTACTGGACTCTTTTAGAACATTTTGCTGAGTTTACACACCTATAATATTCAAATAATGGAACTTAAAAAAAGGGTATACAGATGAATGTCCATTTTGTATCTGTGTATTCAAAGTGGTGAGGATAGATATATAGTTACATTCTCTTAATGAATAGAGTGATTTGTTCTAATGGTGTTTGTAAATAGGGGATACAGATGAATGACCATTTGGTATCTGTGTATTCAAGATGGTTAGGATACATATATAGCTACATTCTCTTAATTCAATGAATAGAGGGATTTTGTTCTAATAGTGTTTGTAAATAGGATATGTGTGCATCTTGTACAACAAATAACCATTAGGAACACAGTATGCAATGTGTTAATTATTGAAACTGTCCTACCAATTTGGTTTGAAACTGTCTCATTGCTATTTGTTTCTCAATAAAATTATGGAAAAAAAATTAAAGGAGAACTAAAGTATCTAAAAAAAAAAAAAAAAAAGAATTTACTATGTAACAGGCAAGGCTCAAACTTATAATGATCCTCTGCCTCAGCTTTCCGAGTTCTGGGATAACAGGCATGAGCCATCAGGTCCAGTTCTCATAATCAGTTTTTTATAATCACTATATTATAAAGTGTATCTTCTTTTTATAAAGATTTGTGAAGACTGAGTGATCCTGTACTACATTTAGGAAGATTTCTGGCAAACTCACAAGCAAAAAGAAGGAAAATAGCATTTGAGCCAAACATTGTTTTACATATCCATAATTCACTGTCATGCAACAATCCTAGTTCTAGAGTTTGGACATAGAACGGTTCTCAAAGTCCTATGTTGTATAAACTTGTCACCAGCCCATAGCACTACCGGGAAGGCCCCCAGCTCACAGTGCTACTCAGGGGGCACTTTGGGACTCTGGTCTCTGAAAAGACTTCTACCACACACTTAAGCATAATGTGCTGCCCCACTCAAGTTGAAAAGCCACAGGGTCACCAGCATAGCTGTGAGCCAACACAAACCTTTCCTCCCCTTACATTGATTACCTCTGGGGTTCTGTTCCAGTAAGGAAAAGCTAACAAGGAGACATGAGCACCTGCTCCTCAGATAGAGTCCCACGCTCACAGAGTGTGAATGAGAAGTCAGTGTTTAGTGGGTACAGTTTCAATTTGGGGGATAAAAGTTCTGGAGGTGGATCGAGGAGATGGGGGTGTAACAGCGTGAATGTGCTTAATGCAAAGGAACAGTATACTTAGAGATGATTAAAATGGTAAATTTGCAGTATATATATTATGCCACAACTTTTTTCTTTATTTGGAGAAAGGAGGAGTTAAACATCTGGGCAAGCAATTCCTCTTTAACTATTACTAATTTCAAATACCCAGTAGAGAGGTGTAAAAATTAAAGAGCCAAAATGAATCCAGACAATTTCCTAATGATCTGAGAGTTCAGTTCATCTGGAGTCTAAGGAAATATTCCCGCTACACCGACAACAACAGTTGCAGGTACAACGCAGCCCACATGGTGCAGCTGGTGTCTGCGCCTCAGACACTAGAGTCCAGCCCAGTGCCAAATGGGCTCTGCTTTTAAAGGAACACATGTCCAGCCTGGGCCGGGTGACAATCCAGTTCAGCTGGCTGCGACCAGAGTTGGGACTGCTGATCCCTGTCTGTCTGCTATCTGTGCGTACAAACTGAAGGCTGAGTTTAGATCATCTTTCAAAATTACCAACAGTCTACAATTCTGTTCCACAGATGTACCGAAGAAATTTGAGGTGATATCATTTTTCAATCAAATAAGGAAAATCTGCACTTTGACTTATTATTTTGACATATATATTATATGTAAGTCTGGAAAAATGTGGTAAAAAAATTTCCTCAAAGATAATGATAACAGCAAATGATGGGTACCACAGTCGTGACTTATCACTGTGTCTCAACTTTCCTGCACCCCAGTTTCTGTTTTCACACTATAGACAGTTTGGCAAATTTATACAATTATAAGGAAAAACTACCAATCTTTTAAAAAACTTTTGTTTATAGACAGGCCACACCATGTTGTCCAGGCTAGCCTCAGACTCGTTGTACAACTACCAATCTTTTAAAAATTTTTATTTAGAGACAGTGCCTCTGGCCTAAACTCACTACATAGCCCAAACTGGCCTCAAAGTTGCAGTAATCCTCCTGCCTCAGCCTCCCAAGCACTGGGATTTCAGGCGCTTGCCCAGGAGAAGTATAAATCTTGCTACCTACATCCCTTCAGCCCTGCACAAGGCACAGAGGTTTGGATTTGGCTTTAGACATCTGCCTGGAACCACCGCTGCAGGTCCAGCTGCAATTCCACTCTTACGACTCAACCCAGGAGATGCCATCAGGTGTCAAAAGCTGCTCACCAGGTATCACTGATAACAACAAAACCTGGGAGCTGAGCAAATGTCCAACACTAGGGGAGTGGTTACATTATGATACATCCAAAGAAAAGATCGTAACAGTCATTAAAAACAGCAACCAAACATTAGTAATGACATGCAAAATGTTTATGCCGTATCAAGAGAAAAAGAAAGACTACAAAAACTTAATGTGCCTTATCATCTGGTCAAAGCAGAGCAACACATTAAAAAAAAGAAAAAGAAGAAAACAGGCCATAACATTAAGAACAATCATAACAAGATTTATAGTTCTGCTGGGCATGGTGGCACTTGCCTGAAATCCCAGTACTTGGGAGGCTGAGGCAGGAGGATTACCGCAACTTCAAGGCCAGCTTAGGCTATGTAGTAAGTTTAGGCCAGACGTACTGTCTCTAAATAAAAATTTTTATTTTATTTTATTATTTATTTATTTATTTGCAGAACCAGGGATTGAACTCAGGCCCTTGCACTTGCCAGGCAAGCACTTATTCTACTGAGCTATCTCCCTGGCCCCTAAATAAAAATTTTTTAAAGATTGGTAGTTGTATAGTGAGTCTGAGGCTAGCCTGGACAATATGGTATGGCATGTCTATAAACAAACAAAATTTTTTAAAAGATTGGTAGTTTTTCTTTATAACTGTATAAATTTGCCAAACTGTCTATAGTGACTATTTCTTTAAACATCTAACTTTTATTATCAGAAGAGTATTTGATAAGAAACCAAAGAAAATAATTTCCAGTATCATAGGATTTTTGTTGTTGTTGTTGTTGTTGTTGATACAGGGTCTCACTACACAGTTCAGACTCTCGTAGTGATCCTCCTGTCTCACAGGCTCCCCAGCACTGGGATTACAGGTGTGCACCACCATGCCCGGTTTCAGGGTCTGCACAGCATATGGAACCAAGGATCAAACTTGGGTCCCTGTGAGTGCCAGGCAGACGCTTCGACCATGGCATTACCTCCCCAGCCCACCACAGGACTTAATAATTCAAATTTCCTTGAACTGCTGATCCCGGCATGGTGGCGCACGCCTGTAATCTCAGTACTTAGGAGGCCAAGGCAGGAGGACTGTCCACAGTTCCACTGCCAGTCTAGGTCACATAGTGAGTTCAAGGCCAGCCTGAGCTACATACCGAGGCTCTATCTCAAAACACAAAACAACACTACACTTCCCTACATATATCTAATATGGCACACCGAGAAGCACACATTTACTGCCTTCTTGGTGTTCCTATCAAACGGAAGCATCTCATTCCACAAAGACACATCAGATACATTCAGATTCCTGGGTGTGAAAAATGCCCTCAAAGACATTAATAAAGCAAAGGACACAGGTGCCATGGGCATAAGACAGAACTGGCTCACACTCTATAAATGTCAAATGCATAAAGAAAGAGGAAGACTAGGGCTGACAAGATAACTCAGCAGACTAAAGGGCCTGCTTAAGCAAGCTTAGGCAAAGCACAGGTTCAATCCCAGGCACCACAGATGGCACCAGCCCCGCCCCCTAGGTGGGCTGAGCCAGCCAAAGTCTGGGCACAGTGGCACATGCCTGTAATCCCAGTGCCAGGGAGGCTGAAAGCTGGAGGATCACCATGAATCGGAGCTGCATAGTGAGACCCTGTCATAACCAAATACATATATAAGAAAGAAAGAAAGAAGACTGAGGAGCTACTCCAGATTAAAGGAGACAACGTGTAATGCATATTCCTAGACTGCATCCTGAATCAGAAAGGTTTTTTCTTTTGTTATTAGGTCAACTGATGAAATGTAAACCAATACGCAGCTTAGATAATCTACAAAATTAGATCATGGTATTGTACCAGTGTTATGGGTTTGATCATTATACCACGTTTTTAGGAAATACATATAAAGAATTTAGGGACAGAAGAATATTTGTCGGTCTTACTCTCCAAAGACAGTATTGAATTAGTAAAGTAAAATCAAAACTATAACCTTAATTCAAAATAACTCCCTAGTCTAGAACTTCAAAGAAATTTTAAGCACTTCTGTGTAACTTGTTATGAGTGCTTTTTGCTTAGCAAATACTATATTTTACTTGCTGGGGATGGAATCTAGGGCCTTGCGCACACCATGCCAGCACTTTCACCCAGCTTTGCCCCCTCTCGATTTATTTTAAATCATTTCCTGTACCAGGACATAAGGTTAACTACGAGATAATGAAGATCTTTCCTACGTCACCTAAGTAATGGGATCTGCCACCATTCCCAGCCTGCACTCTGGACAGATCAGGAAGGCCACTTCCTGCAAACCCTGAGACCCCACTCTCTCTAAGGGTGGCAGCACATACTTTTCATCTGTGTACTTCTCGGCTGTAAAGTCCGCCTGCCGCTCGGTCTCATAGGGTCGATATTCCCTGTAGGATCGCCGCTCAGCTTTGTCTGGTGTCACCTCTGTCCCCCTGCTGTCGTTCCATCCTTGAACCTCCTCTCTTCTGGAAGTACGCCCCAGGCCTGCTAACAGAAACAAAGCAAAAAGCTGGACACAACCTCCACAAGAGTGGTGTAAAACTTCACAGGTACTTCTTTCATTTTCCTAGATCCCTGAAAAATTTTGAGAAGTAAAATTTCAAAGAACAAAAAAGCTGCAAACTCGCGAAGTGTTCCATACTTTTTCTCAATAAAATTATTTTTTTAAAAAAGCTGCAGATCCAACTACCTAGAGCTTACCACTTTTAAACAAAACTTTACTATTAAATCTCTCTTTCCTAAATGTCCTAGAAAGTACAAGATTTTAAAACATGTAAGCTACAAGATTTTTAAACATCTACAGGTATTTTGATTCCTAAGAGGAATACAGCAATTTAAGCACACCCATTAATATTTTAGCTGTACAACCAATGTGAAGAATGATTTTTTTTTTTTTTTTGGCAGAACCGGGGATTGAACTCAGGCCCTTGCACTTGCCAGGCAAGCACTTATTCTACTGAGCTATCTTCTATTCTACTGAGCTATCTTCCCAGCCCCTGAAGAATGATTTATACTAAGAAATATTGTAGTAAGCAGAAGGTGGTGGTTATCCACACAGTTATGGAAATATTTCACTAAATAAATTACTAAATTTCGCTAAATATATTTCGCTAATTTATACCAAGAAATACTGTTGTAAGCAGAAGGTTATATAACAGCTATGGATATATTTCACTAAATAAATTACTAACAGGGGTAGCTTTACCAAATATGGTTATAAATTCTTTTCAGAAAATTAAAGGAAAAATTCCCGGCATTTCAGATTTTACTTTCAGGATCTCAACTGTACATAAAGGCCTATGGTTATGCATCGGCTCCTGAAGGTGTCATTTTGAAACAGTTTGTATTGCACCTTTATGTTAAAAACAGATTTTCTTGCTTTTGATGAGATGTATATACTTGGTATCATACTTCTTAAGTATGAGCCCCAACTGGTACATTCTGAGTACAGTCAATATTCGTAGGCCTCATCTTTCTCACCCACTGAGACATTCATACCCAGCAAGGCTAAGGACAGGGTTCAGGGGCTACTCTAGTCTTTTCCTCTCTCTCTTCTTCCCTACTGCTCTCATTTAGTTTTTTTATGCTTTAAATTATTATTATTTTGGTACTGGGAATCAAATTCAGAACTTTGTGCTTGCCAGGTAGGTGTTTGTGCTGCTGAGCTACATCCCCGGGCTTAAATTTTTAAATCTATGCTTGAAATTAACACCTGGTATTTTGTGAAGAATTTGTCACTTCTTAAATCATCTCCTAAAAATGTCAGGGAACCCAGGGCCTTTGCATTGAGCTATATCCTCATCCTGTTAAACTTGAGATCCTCTTGCCTCAGCCTGCTAGAGTGCTGGGATTACAGATATGCACCACTACTCTCTGCTTACTACAATATTTCTTGGTATAAATTATTCTTCACAAGGGCCGACCAAATAGCTCAGCAGATTAAAGCGCCTGCAAGCAGGCACATGGCTGGGGGTTCCATCCCCTGTCCTGCTGTACCAGCCCCGCCCCTGGGGTGTGCAGAGATAGCAACTGAGACTGGGCGTGGTGGCACGCCTGTAATCCCAGCACTTGGGAGGCTTTAAGCAGAAGAATCATTATGAGTCTGATCTAGTAGTGAGATCCTGAACACCCTGTAGACCGTTCCCTAAAATACAGAAAAAAAATGTTCTTCACATTGGTTATATAGCTAAAATATATTAAATTTATTGTTAATGAGTATGCTTAAATTGCTGGATTCCTCTTAGATATACACATGACTTTTAATATATGTATATTTCTATATAATTTGTTTTGTTTGAGACAAGGTCTCTGTGTAGTGAAGGCTACCCCTGAACTCACTTATGTAGCTCAGGCTGGCTCCAAACTCATGGCTTTCCTTCTACTCTGCCTCCCTAGTGCTGGGATTACATGCCTGGTCCATGTAATATTTTTTTGTCTGCATTTTATAGTCTGAGTACAAGTAAACATTAACTGGCCTCATTTTATTTTATGTTTTTTATTTATTTATTTTTGGCAGAACTGGGACCCTTGCACTTGCCAGGCAAGCGCTTACTCTACTGAGCTATCTCCCCAGCCCCAACTGGCCTCATTGTAAAGTGACATGTCTGTGACACCACTAACAAAACTGTGCAACTTACTACCTTTAACACAAAGTTATCTCCCTTAGAGTGAAATTAAAACTTGGACAACAGACCTGAAATCAATTAGCTATGATCTTTAATATCCTATAACCTAGAAACATCTAAGTGCAATGTGCATCCAACTTAGAGTGAGGTCACAATCCATTCTTGTGACATGGTTAGGGCACAGGAAAGATGTCATCATATATAGAGCACTATGCTTTTATTGTAGAAACATATAGTACCAGAAGACCAAAACTGGAAGAGGCTTTTGAAATACAATGCAGAAAAAATGCGATTTTGAAAATAACCTAATAAACACAAAATTATTAACAGACCAAAACGCAAGTTACCAGGACATTCGTCAGAAGTAACAATGCTTCTCAATACTTTTCTCTCAGTGTGGAGAGCCATTTTAGAACAGCATCAGATTTCCTATCTGCAAGTTTTAGCACACTTTTAAATCCTGAACTACAGAATTACCCATCCTGCCTCCTTTCTGCAGCTTATCTTTTAACTCTATCAATTAAATTGGAAATTCACCACTCAAAATCTAAACTATGACATTTCTGGGTATAAACTGAAAACTGGTAAATGCAATTTGACTGCTTACTAGGATGATCATAAATACCCAGCAAATGCTTCATGGTTCCTCAAAAACCCCCCAAAACAAAGGTAATCAGTGACTGACTTTCCCTTCAATATTTAGTTCTAAAAGATCAAGGCTGCGACTTAACCTAGCTTGTTCTGTGCTGGGTCAGCAGCTCCGAGCAGCAGCGCACGTGCCACATCTCACCAGCTCTTTTCAATAAAAGGCTGGCAAATGCAGCTTCACGGTGTTAGCTCAACCAAGCCCACAGGAGAAACAAACACAACAAAATTTACACAGTAAGATTTCCTTTAAAAAAAAAAAAAGTTGAGCTTTAGCTCAAAGACCTTAGTTCTGAAAGACCAGAAAAGCAAAGTTAGAATAGCATCTGGTAATTCAAGAATGAATTTATTGGGCCAGGCTCACGCAAACAACCTTTAGACACAAGCTCAGGATGTTAAAAGCCTACATTTTTTCATGGAGAAATCTCGCCCTTTCCACATTTGGGGGAGTTAACATTTTTAAAATCTCATATGTGAAATTTATCTACACTAAGCTTTCACGTACAACATTCAAATTAAAGATTTTGAGTGTAGACAAGCACAATCCTTTGTACCAATTAGCACTAACAAGACCTTGAAAGTTGTTCCCTAACTCCCATCATGATAAATTTAGTACAGTAGCTACTTTGATAGGAATTAATGAGATCTTTACTTCTGAAACTGTGCATACTTGACAAGAAGCTACAATAATGTCTAACTTCAAAATCAACTAAGGATCTTTAACACACATCTCGTAAGTCTGATTGCTGAGGCTGAACCACCAATGGAGGGAAACATATAAGCACATTAGATTGCAATGTGAAATAAGAAAAGTAGGCTGCAACCCCGTTTATATCATTTAAGTTTAGCAAAAGAAACAGCACTATACATTTACGCATATAAATTCATGCATGTAAGTATAGTACCTACACTAGGAAAATTACAGGGTCTTCATTTAACATATATTTTGAGTTTTAGTTTTAACACATTTTTTAAAAGGCTAAAAATCATATTAACACCTCCTCACTTCAGTCTCACACTCTCAAATTATAGTCCATTTTCATTTGTTAAAAAATAAGTGGGAAAATACAAGTAGAGAGGCAGCTTAGCTTTCCTTGATGCTTCCACTTGCCTTGTATTTATCTAAATTTAAGACAAAAAACACAGAACATAATTCAAGTGTTCTCTCCTATTGCTTAAAGAGGGTCATATACGTACTGGGATATCCAATAACTTTTTAAAAAATCAAGTAATTTCCAACCTCTTTATGTTCTGACTCTCAAGCGATGTCTCTGGATTTCTCATAAAGGTAAACATTACCTAAAGTCAAAGCCCAGTGGAAACCGCAGTCTCTTGGGGTCGGAATGCAATTTTTAATCAGGCCAGAAACAAGCCGCTGCAGGCCAGCAGCTATCCGGCCCAGCGCTGGCTGGAGGGGCCGCGCTGCTCATCCTAGCCATGGTCCTCTCCCTGCCTTCCTGGGCCGCTCCGCAGGCTGTGCCCTGACCTCCCTGCTCACCCGAGACGGGAGACCGCGCACGCTCTGCGTGGAAGGTCAGCCCCTCTCTCCTACAGCAGCTCGAATGAATCCCAAGTCGCACACCCCGTCCACACAGCACGCTGCCCTGGGAGTTGAGGTGTGGGGCGGAGGGGAAGGCACAGGGCCTGACCACACAGGCCGACCCCTCTCCGTCCTCCACCGGGTCCGCAACCGCCTCAAGACCGCGGAGGCCAGGAAGCGAGCGGAAAAGGCTCCCGCTGGGTCCCCACGACCCTGGTCTTCGTGCCAGCGACCTCCCTCCACTCCGCCTACTCCGGGGTCCCGCACCTCGGAAGAGTCTGGGGAACCCCCGTGTGGATCCCGGCCCGAGAGATCACCCCACCGTCCCGAAATTCGGCCGAGGCAGGGTGACCTCCGTACCCTGCTGTGGCGGTGGCGGTGGCAAGGCACCCCCGGGGCTCGCGGGACCCTTGCGCTCTTTGCGGGACCCCTTGCGGCCGCCTACGCCGGGCTTGGGCCCCGGGGCCGTGGCTCCAGCCTCGTCGCGCTTTTTGCGCGGCAGCTGCAGCTGGCGCCGGCGCTCGGCCTCGCGCAGGACGTCAAATGGGTCCGACTCGTCGTCCAGCAGCTGGTGAAAGCGGTTGGCAACGACGCAGCCGAAGGTCTCCTGCATGGTGGCGCCGGCCGGGCCGCCCTTCATGCTTGGCGCGGCACTGCTAGCCGGCCGGGCGCCCACGGGAGCGCGCCTCAGCGGAGACAGAGACGAGAACCCATCCGGCCAGCCGCAGCAGCTCCCTGGACCGCGCCTACCAGCCCCGCCCCCACAGCACCAGGACCAATCAGAAAGCACAAACACGCCCCTTTCTGGGCTGGCGCACCAGAAGATCCAATCACCGGCCGGCGGCTGTTGCGTCACGCTGGCTCGTGCCCCTCCCCAACGGCGCGCTGGGAGGGCGGGGCAAGGGCGGAGCCTGCTCTGCGAACAGTGGTTGTGCAGACCCCGCTGTACTGTGTTTCGCTGAGTGAGATCTGGTCCCTCCGCTATGGTCACTCACTTTTTGAGCGCTGTGTGCTCGGCGTGTGTAGAAGGAGACCGTAGCGCCGTGTGCTCCTTTGGGTTCTGCCCCTCGGCGATGGGTCACTCACTTTTTGAGCGCTGTGTGCTCGGCGTGTGTAGGAGGAGACCGTAGCGCCGTGTGCTCCTTCGGGTTCTGTGTTCCTTCACGGAGCCGGACCCAAAGGACTAACGAAGCTTGGAAAGGTCGGAGGAGAAGGTAGCGCAGACGGGAGTTTAGGAGCAGGGTAACCGGAGTGCCAGGAGTTGGGCCTTCCAACTCTTCGTTTATCCATATTCTGTCAGCAGAAGGAACCAGGCTTTACGCAGGAGCAGATTTGTATTTTAAAAGGCCACTGTTGGGGCCGGGGAGATGGCTCAGTAGAATAAGCGCTTCCCTGGCAAGCACAAGGACCTGAGTTCAATCCCCGGTTCGGAGTAAAAAGTGGATGCAAGGAGCTGGGCTTTGTGGTGTATGCTTGCACCCCAGCACTGTGGTAGGCTGAGGCAGTAAGATCTGTAGTTGGAGCTCAGCCACTTAGACCTTGTCTCCAAAATTTAAAAAGGGCTGAGGATGCAGGTTAGTATAAAGGCCCCGGGTTCAATCCTCAGTGCACCAAGCACAAGGTAGCTGTAGAGTTCTAGCAAAGAACTGATGATAGGGAGTTAGTTGGCTTAGTGTGGTGGCAATACAGGCAAAAGAAAATACATTCAAGGGCTGTTTTGGAGGTTGTCAGCAGTGCATGGAAGGCTACTAGGATCATCTGTATGGGTGATATGGACTAAAGAATGGTCAACTTGTAACACCTAGCTGAACTGAATCAGTGTGGTTCGGGGAATATAAGGCCCACCTGAGATTTGTTGTCAGCTTTGTGAAAGGAGAACTGGATGGAAAGATGGTGTACTGTTGATTCTCTTGGAGAAGCTTGCCACGCTGGTTTTCCTAATAGAAACTCAGCTGTTCATCATAGGAGCTCATTCTATCTGGAACTAAGGATGACTATAGTTCTGTTTCAGGGAGTATGGTTCTTACCTCAAGCATCACTTACTGCCTCCAGTGCAGATCTTTCAGCCTAGTGGCACAGACCCTTCACCCTGTTGAAACAGACTTTTTAGCTTTCGGCACTGGCCTTTGGGCCTTCCCAGTGCAGATCCTTGATACAGACTTGCATGAGACATTGCCATGGGCTCTAGGTCTTAAGCTGGACTGGTGCAGGACATTGCCCTGGGATCTAGGCCCTCAGCTTCTTTGTGTCTGTAGTGCATGGATAAATCTATTATTTTGGGTGACTATTACAAAATAATTCTTTAAATTGTGTCTTGTCTTCACTCCTTTCTGTTCCCTTGTAATCCCTGGCTACACAGGTGAAGGAAGAAGGTGTGAAAACTCCTTTGTTTTTCTGCAGTGGGAGTGCTAGCCACCAAGAAATGGAACCTTGAAAGAGACTACTTTGATGAGGATAGTGAGTTTAACCTTGGACGTGTTGAGGGTTGGTTTGGGTTTTTGTTTTTCTTTTGCAGCCTAGAGCTCAGAGGGGACTTCCTCCAACAAATCATGCTATGGTCCATGTTGAGGCACTCTGGCCTGCCTATCCTATAATCACTCTTACATTTTCTTGTTTTACTTAGGGAACAGGTGCTATAGGCCCCAGATTAAGTAGTGCCCCTTCTAGTGAAGTCATTTATTGTCATTCCATTCTCTTGCCAAGGTGTAGGCTGTGTGGTAAACCTTGCAGAAGCATTCTGGGAAAGTTCTTGCTCCTCAGAGGGGATTGATATGGAATCTTACCATTTCTTTTCTTTCTTTCTTTTTTTGTTACCAGGGATTGAACTCAGGATCTTATGTTTGCCAGGCAGATGCTTATACCACTGAAATATATCCCCAACCCTGGTTCTTCTTTTGTGAAAGAACATGATGCCTGGTGTTACTGTACCTTACTTGTGATAGAGAAATCCTAGGTCTATGATGTTGAGCTGCATCCCTACCTCGGGTGTATTTTTATGCAAGGTGATAGAAACCATTGTTGCTTAAGCTATCCTCAGGTGTGTTGGTTTCTCCCATCCAGAAGCATCCTATTAGAGCAT